AACACATCTGTGCTAAACTGGTAAATGGCCGAGTGGTTGAGCACCCTCTTGGCGTGATTCTTGAGGTCACGAGAGACATGGTCGATCAGCAACGAGTAATTCAGTGTGTGCGCGCACTGGAAAAGACGCAGAAGCTCGTCTGTGTCGAACATTTCCTTGCGGTATAGTAGATGTCGCACACAGTCCTCCTTGATGGACTCTACCAGGTACTTGTTGCCGAACTCTGCTAGTTTTACAAGTGTGTCAAAGTCGTATACTTCAAGCCTCTCGTCATCGTAGCCGTAAACATATTCACGAAACTTCTCAAACACCTTTGGCTCCACGTCGTTCAGCTTCACTTCTCCGCTGCTGGACTCATTGTAGTTGCCATAGAGCATGCGATCGAACACCTCAGAGGCGCAGCTAAAGATCAGCTTGTGGCACAGAAATACCTTACTTCCTTCCGCAGTTTCGATAATAAATTTGCAGTCTGCATGGCGATTGGTACGCAAAATGTCGGCCAAGGAGTCACGCATCCTGCAGTTGGCGAAAATAAAAAAAAAAAAATAATAATAAAAAATGGTTCATGATACATCTAAAGTAATTACCATGTAGTAATCATTATTTCAAAATATTTCAGGTTGTCTTGGTAAAAGAATAAAAGTAGCTTGCTCAGATATCGTATCTCAAATAATTCCCCCGATGCTATGGTCAACAAAATAATTTAATTTAGTCAATTTACAAATGTTTGCTTTGTTTATATAAATTTTTTACTTATAGAAAACTTGTGCTTCGGTTAATATACACAAATGAATTATGAATTTATGTGATGTTCTGAAAGTTTGATCTTCATAGTCCCATTACAAGAGGATTTATTCAATGATGAATGTACTGTAAAATAGCTCAAATTGCAGCTCTGAACGCGTGATAATTCGTGTATTCGTGTATGTGTGTGAATGTGTTATTTATCATATGCATATGTATAAAGTACAAGCTGTTATTTTAGTCATTAACATTCAGGATTATTCGATTGCATATTTTTGGTGCACCCACGATTATTCGAAAATTCAAATCTCAAATTAGTCTCATTGTATTAGCGTTAGCAATGCGCTATTGAGTCTAGAGACTTGAATTTATATATACATACTTATCTATAAGAAGTTCAATTAGAACAACTTTAAAAAGTTCCCATTTAGGCTTTTTTTCAATTTTGAATCCATTGAAAAATATATATGTATAATAAATAGTTTTGACAAAATTATTTTGATAGAGAGTGGTAAATGTAATCTCAGTTTTTCCTTTTAATCAATTACCATGTGGCAAAGAGAAAATAAACTGACCTCTGCTGTAGTTGATTATCTATGATATTATTTGCCTTATAGGCTATATAAGTTATAGCGCTAAGGACCAGGCTTTGATTGAAACCTAAAATGGATTGCAATTGCACTTTTAGAATGGCGCAATAAGTAACTTTCGATTCAATAATACATCCATGTGATAGCATAATGTATCTAAAAATGTTTCAATACATCAAGTTCAAGCCCGAGCAGAAAATCGAAATTTTTCGAGAGCAAGCGGATCGATGTTAACATCGATGATAGAGAATTAATTAATTGCTTGATTGTGATGTCGCAATGCAAACGGTAACCAAGCCAGTGACAACATTTTGCGTACACTTGCGAATTTTTATTGGCATCGGCTTGTTTCCCCAGCGAGAAACAAGAAAACACAAGAAACCCGATGATGAAATAATGGTGCCAACTGAACTAAACTGAACAGCGTCTGTTCTCTCTTGTGAGCACTTCGGCCAGTTGTCGAGTCGAAGACATTGCGTAATTCCGCAAGCCGCTCAAATCAAGTTTTTCATAGGCCGCTGCGACGAAAGTGAGACACAATATTTTTGAAATCTGCTAAACATTTTCCACGCGTGCAACTTAGTTTTCATTCATTGCTTGGCGAGGTCAGTCGCTAGGAAAACAGAGCTGCAGACCATAAAGAGATCTCCTCGGGACCACGATGAGCGAACTCATACGACGCGCTGTGCTCCTGGCATTGCTCATTCGCTTCGCTCGGGGCGATGATCCGTTTCTGACTGATCCGCGTAAGTGTCAAGTGGATTGAGTGCTTAGTTATCAGGCTTAGCACTTACCTCTAGCTTTGATGGGCTGTGGCTGGCGATTGCTTGGCCGAGTGCAGCGCTTGCTTTTAGAAACCATTTGGCGCTGGCTAGGCCGGCACGCAATGTAACTAACCCACTTAATGGCTTATTGTCAAATATTGCACCACTAAACCGGATCTGTTTCTCTGCATTTATTTGTGTCTTTTTATTTTGAAATTCAACTCAACTGAAATCAAAACCTCAATTTTAATCGAACCGCAGCAGATTACATCAAAGAATGTAAAATAGCCGATAAGAATTTCGTCAACTGCTCCACGCAAAGCATTCAGCAGCTCTTCGACAAGCTAAACGATGGTAAGTCGCTGACATAGACAGTGTTTGGGGTATCTAACTGGATATTACAGGAATTCCGGGCCTGACAAGCATCAAAAGCTTTGATCCATTCCATTTGAACCGCATACGCATATCCCAGGGCAACAGCAATGCCATCAATCTGAAAGTCGAGCTGGCCAACATTAAGATTTTCGGATTCGGTCACACCAAAGTGATTGAGAGCTTGTAAGTCGCACCGTGAGGCACACTCACCTCCTTATATTATCTTGCTTTGCTTTGTCTGGCAGAGTTTTCAAAAAGGACTACAGCTGGAAGACCACATTCACGCTGCCGGTAATGAAGCTTCAAGGAGACTACAGTTTATTCGGGCGCATTCTGCTCATACCACTAAACGGGCGTGGTCAGGTGTTTTTAGACGCAGGTGAGAGTTGCTCAAAGATTTTCGCATCCGTCCACTGGCAAGTGTCCCTATGCAGATAACATGACTGTCACCATGCACACAAAGACGCGACTGTACTCGAAGGGCGGCTTCACGTTTTACAATGTGACCAACTGCCGCGTGGACTTCAAAATGGATGGCCTGAAGTCATACTTCTCTAATCTGTTCAATGGCAACAAGCAATTGGGTGAGCCCTCTCTCTCTCTTTCTCTCTCATTCTCTCTCTTTCTCTGTCTGTCGCTCTCTACTCTCTAATTGTGCCTCTTGCAGAGGACAGCACCAACAAGTTCTTCAACGACAACTGGCGAATGCTGGCAGATGCTCTATACACGGTTATCACGCAGACAATCGAGGACATTCTGCTCGATGTTCTGAAAAAGATTTTCCACTTCATACCAGCAAACTACTTTGTCAGCGACATTCCCACTCCGGAGCAACTCTATGGTAAAACGAAGCCGAAACCAAAATAAACGTAGTACAAGAACTCTCAGCTCTTAGTGATATTTATTGGTTTCGGCTATCGGAATAAGATTATTTAAGCTGTCTATGCTGGATTTCGCAATATGAGTTAGGTCTTGCTCTCACTCAAAATATATAACGTCGAATCAAATGTAAATAGATACTGGGTTCATTTTAAATCACCAACAAAAATTCGAATAGATTAAATGTAATTATAATGCTTAAGTTTTGTTTTTTTCGCTTGTATGTTGATCAAATATTAAATTTATTGTACTCGAAATATCGAAAATTAGTGTTTAATGGTTTTATTAAAATGCGTGCCCATTACATGGCCGATCCCATCTATATATATATATATTCTTGACCTGAGAAATCAGGTATTTATGAACGTAGCAATTCCAGATCCTATAATAGCTCAGTTCGTCTTCTTGCAGTCGAGCAGTCTCGACAATTTATTACCGACTTTTGAATGGGTTTTTGTCGATAACAAAAAACGGAAATAATTATAATTTTTTGAAGTCTATAACTACATATGTTAATTTTTTAGGTAGTCGGACCATTAACAAACCGGCATATAAATTCGATTTTCTAGTCTTTTGTATTTAAGGAAGTATACACTTCTGTATGCGTTGAACTATAAAACGGAGGCTACATTCCAAATAATAAGTAACTTCATAGATGCAATAGATTCAATAGATGCACAAAACCAATACTAGGTTTAGCTCTGTGGATATTTTAACTTAAATCAAGATGTGAACCGCTCTAAAAACAAAGCAACCTTTTTTTGATTGACCAAAGGAAAATATTTTGTTGATTACAGCATAAAGAGAATTGATTGAGATTCGATATCTGAGCAAGCTACTTCTATTTATGTCTTAAGACAAACGCAAAAGTTCGAAATAATGATTACTAATTGGTAAGTACTACAGATCGTAGCGGAATTTTTAGTTAATTTTTGTCAACCAAAGGATGCTCGACTCTTTGACCAAGATTTTGCGTACCAATTGCCATGCAGACTGCAAATTTATTATCGAAGCTGCGGATGGAAGTAAGGTATTTCTGTGCCACAAGCTGATCTTTAGCTGCGCCTCTGAGGTGTTCGATCGCATGCTCTATGGCAACTACAATGAGTCCAGCAGCGGAGAAGTGAAGCTGAACGATGTGGAGCCAGAGGTTTTCGAGAAATTCCGTGAATATGTGTATGGCTACAATGACGAGAAACTTGATTCTTACGACTTCGACACACTTGTGAAACTAGCAGAGTTCGGCAACAAGTACCTGGTAGAGTCCATCAAGGAGGACTGTGTGCGACATCTACTATACCGCAAGGAAATGTTCGACACAGACGAGCTTCTGCGTCTTTTCCAGTGCGCGCACACACTGAATTACTCGTTGCTGATCGACCATGTCTCTCGTGACCTCAAGAATCACGCCAAGAGGGTGCTCAACCACTCGGCCATTTACCAGTTTAGCACAGATGTGTTCAAAAGCTATATTGAGGTGGTCGAGAGCAGAMTCAGTGAGCCAGAGCGCTTCAACTTGATTGAAATGTACATAAAGTATAACGATCTGTATAACGATGGTCCTGATACTGCTGCTACAGACACTGAAAGTGAAGATGAGAAAATAGATACTAATGGACAGGTGGCTACTCCGGCAATCGAAGGGAAGGGAAAAATGAATGGGGAGTATATTTCTGAGTTACTGGGGCTAATCGACTTTTGCAAATTCACGGCCAAGGACTTCTATGAAGGACCTGGCAAATCGAGCTTACTCACCTTGCCGCAAAAGTACGAGAATCTCTATAAGATTGCCAGGAGTTGCTCACATGCTTCCGGCCAGAAGGAACTAGATCCCTTTTTCTCTTGCAACTGCTATTCGTGTTACGGACATTAACGACTGAGTCACTGAGTCGACTCATCAAATTCTGTCATGTCCTTTGATTAACTTCAAGTAATCCAATATTAGAAATCAATTATTTAAATAACATACATGGGTTCTCTCCCTCTCTCTCCCCTTCTCTTTCTCTCTCTCTCTCTCTCTTTCTCTGTCTGATTTACTGTTATATTATGTTGGCGGTTCTCTTTACACCTTTTTTCAAAAGTGTTGACTAAGTATAGATATCAAATTGCGCAGCCAATTTGAAATAAATGATTTCTTCTATAACTTTAAGCAATAAAACATTAATTTAACTGATTAGCTATGATATGTATATCTACCGAAGTGTATGTAGAAATAGACAATAAAATAGTATTTACGGATTCCATGTCGCTATTGATTTATCCTACACTTCCAGCTTGGATCAAAGATTTTATATTATTATTTATATATTCTTGAGATGCGTGGCATAGATATTTAAATCAGGTATTTCAAGGAAATATGAACCTATTTCGCAGTTAAATACTAACGGAGTTTTAGTATGCTCATATTAAATTGCTATGTTCTCTTACCATAGATGAAAGACAGTCGCCCGTATCAGCATGCATCACAGACTTGAGGCAAGGGAACTGAGGCTTTTTAAAGCAAAGCTGCTTCCTGCTGTGCGGTAGGCGCATTAGTGTCCTTCAAGTGGCGTCTTAGTGCATGCACCGAGAGAGCTGACCAGAAGGAGCTCAAGGCGGTTGAAAAACAAACGACGCCCACTTTTTCAGACATTGTGCGATGTACACAAAAAGGAGTTTCATGTATGCTCCGCCATATATCAGGATAGATGTCATAGTCACCAGCCCTCACCTAATCGGGCGTAGTTGTTGTACTTGTTCCGATTGTGCCGCTGAAGAAGTAAAGTCATTTTCGACCATGTTATTTGTTATTTTTTAGCTATAAGTCCGGCCAGTGGAAATTCGAGTCCGCGAAGCACTCCTGGTCGTGACAGTCTCGAGTTCTGTGCACTCGGGCAAGGAGAAAAAGCGGTATCTCTTATCTTCGACTGCATCGCTCGTTCTCGTATGTACTTTTCAATGGATATTCATACATATATGCCACCGCCCACATTTGTCCTGCTTAAGTACTTCTTCCTGCGTTCGCTGCTAAGCGCACTTTTCAATTACCCCAAAGTGGAGGGCACATTTATTTTGGGGCCAATTACGAAAATTAAATAATTTGCTAGAGTGACTCTCAGAGGGCCAAATAAATTCATTTTCTACAGAATAAGTGAATTTTATTTATTATTTATTTATTTTTCTTTGATTAGAATGTTTTATATGAATAGCAATAAAAAATATGTTTATAAATTAAATTACTCCTCTGTAAGCTCGAGTATGGCTATCAGGGAATAACGAATTTCTGCTAGGAAAGTTGAGACCATAGAACTATTCAATGTTGTTTGAAAGACTGCATTCGAATTCAGATGCAGTTTTCTAAAGGTATTCATTAAACGTAGAGTCGATTCATCTTCAGATTATCTAAAGTCAATTTATGGCTAATTGCCAATTATATAAGCCAGAGAAATGAGAGTCGATCCAAGCTGTTATAAAATTCAATAATAATTCAATAATTTTCACAATCGAGCTCGAACTAAAATGTTAGTCAAATGTAGATTTTGTCAGAGCCTTAGCATGAATTTCTGTGATCGAATCGAGATTACAAAGACCTTCCCGTTTTGCTCTGAAAAAGTTTGCCAATTTTTGCTAATTTTAACAATAATTTGACAACATTGAGCAGGAGACCCAGACATTATAAAGTTCTAAAACAATGAGCGTAGCATTAAAAATAATTATGTTGGGACTCAAATCACAATAGCAGCCCTTTGTCCGACACATCCTTTTCGAGGAGCCTTCGGCAGAGCTGTGCTTTTCTGGCCACACTTGCTGGCAGGACTATTAAAAAATATGCGCATGTTAATTTAAATAAAGTGTGGAAACAAATAGAAACTAACGAAGGGAGCAGAGGATAGGAGGATAGGAAAAGCGCAACCGGTCAGGATGCCCGAGTGAAGTTAAGCGAACAGCGATGGCGGCAACAAAAAGGACACAGAGCCCTGCCCGGCCGGGGTCTGCCGTTGGCCGGGACAGAACCAGAGCAAATATTAATCCACAAAAAGGAATTGTCACAAATTGTGTGCTATAGTCTAGGTGGCGTCTTCTGTCCGCTGGGCAAACAACAGTTGCACCAAAAAGGACAAAAGGACTATTCTTTCGCATGCGTGTGTGTGTAGCTGTGAAGAGGGGCTGGAAAAAGGGTGTGAGTACCGCACTCCAGCCTTGACAGCGCTGATTGTTTCAAATCGCAAGTTTGGCTTACCTTTTTGGGAATTAATTTGGCAAATAAACGCTGACAAAACGCAGGCAACTGGACAAGGACAAAGCTCTATTCTATTCCTTATGCAAGGCCAACTAATAGGATTTTGATGATAGTTGCTCGGTTTGCCATCTACTTCGACCCTCGGGCCTCGGGCGTTGCAGCCTTCGCCATAATCAATTTTTGGCCAGGTTTTTTCTGTTGCTCAGTTGGCCTCTCATATGATTGTACCCTGTGACCCATGAAATGAGTTTTGCCATGTGTGTGGACGTGTGTGCTTCCGAGCGGGTGTGCGAGGTGGCAGAGGCAAACGAAATGGCCAAATGAAATTACCAACACATTCAGTCAGAGAATGAGACGGAGATGGCTCGGGCTCTGAGCCGCAAAGCCAAAGCCAAAGCCAACCCAAAAGCTGCRCCGCAATTCGTATTCATAGCATTTCCCCCACTCACTCACACCTCTCTCTCTCTCTCCCTCTCTCTATCGCTCTCTCTGCCGTTCTCTGGCTTCATATCTCAATGCGGGCCTTGTGGGGGTGTGGCGGTATTATAATTAATTTCACTGGCCCAAATATGTAAATTTGATTACGAGCCAAAACAAAAATAAATTCACAAATATAGCGCATACGCAGCGTATTCACAATTTCTATGCTGACCAAAGGCCGGCTTCTAAGCCGCTTAAATTGACTGCTGTTGAGATGGACGGCAGAGGGCGGAGGGCAACGGAACGGATCGGGACAGCTGTCTATATGTGTCCACGTCCATGTCGCAGTTCATCAACGGCCAACTTTGGCTGCCTCTGCCTTGTTACAAGAACAAAACTTTTGTTTCCCGCTTCCCAATTTTTTCAGCTCTATTTTCGTTTTTTTGGCGACTTTTTAACGTCAACTTTAAATGAATTTCATAACAGTTTTTGTGGCGTTTTCTTTTTTTTTTGCAACTGCAGTTGAAAAAGCCAACTTTGCATGAATTAGTCACAGCGCAGAAGGCTGCCCGCACCTCTTCCCAAGCAGAGCACTGCAGTTGCGGCAGCAGCGTTGCATACTTTTGGGGGTATTTTAATTAGCGGTTACCCCACCCAGTGCGCGAAAGATCTTAATTAATGGCCAGATTGGCCCCTAAAAAGATTTACAGCTTCGCCATTTATTACGTCAAACAGCTGCGGAATAAACGAAATATTGTAAACTTGAATGATCAAAAGCAAAAAA